AAAAATTTGTTTAGAGACAAGATCTTGCTACATTGCCCAGGCTGGTCTCAAGTAATCCTCCCATCTCAGTCTCCCAGAGTGCTAGGATTACAGGCATGAGTCACCATGCCCAGCCACAAAGTAAACTAACTGCTGCATTTTAGTCCTTGGTTCTTTCTCATCATATCTTGGATATAACTGTGAGATTGTACTTCTTTATGTTAAAATATCCAAGTCACATGTTTATGCATGTGCCATGCAATGGCACACCGTTATTGAACCCATTTTTCCATTAGTGCACTGGAGAATTACTAGAACCCACCTCTTGCCGGCCTCTGCATGAAGTTTCTCACTCTGTGTCAGGTCAGTGCGTTTCCTGCTAAATGCTCCTTCCAGGTACCGGGAACATATTTCTTCTCTTTCTAGGAACTCAATATTCTGGTTCTATATGGCGTGCTCCATTAAATCAAAGCTTTCATGTTGACACTATCTTTATTCATTGCCAGATACTGAGTTATTTGCTCCCACTTCAATAATTGAGAGAGGGTGGTGATTGGTATATTTGATGGGCCTTAGAAGGCTGGTTAGAGTTGCTCATCTTCATAAAGCAACCAGTCCCCTCACTCAAAAACCTTCAGTGTTTCTTTGCAAGGTAGAAGGCAAATTCTCAGGCCTGAGTTCCTTGGTACCTGGCCCCTTTCTCCTTCTTCAAGGTCAACAGTGTAGTGTCTTCAAGTCTCTGTCACTGGCCTCTGCTTCTGTCCTCATGTCTTCTCTGACTCTGACACTGTTGCCTACCTCTTTCCCGTATTAAGACCCTCGTGATTACATTGGCTTCACTGGGTTAATCCAGTATAATCTCACCCTCTCAAAGTCTGCAAAGTCCCTTTTGCCATGTAAGGCAACATCTTTACACATCCTGGGGGTTAAAAACATGAACAGATTTGGGGGGCTGTTATGTCTGCCACACCCACGCATTCACATGGTGCAGGGCCACTATAAAACCTCAATCGGTGTTTACTCTTATGATTGTGAAACCTTGATTATAGCTCTTAATGGCATTGTATTATGAACACGTTGCTGTATTTGTGTTCTGTGTCGCATCCGTACCACCTGGCACAGTGGGCTCTAGTGCTAGTCATATGGTCCATTCCTCAAGCACCTTCTGTGTAGAAGTCAGAATTACTAAGCAACTGGGAACACAGTCCCCACCCTCATCAGAGAGTACTGTCAAGTGTGGATCTAGACCAGGTGTTCAAATATTTATTAAATGAATTAATGAAGCAAAACAGCTTACCTAACACTTCTGAGGAACACATGAATGCCTCAGTTATCGCCAGACTTTCTCCGTGGAATGCTCTGTCCCACTTTTGCTTGTTAAAACTTACCTGTCCTTCAAGACTCTGCCTGTGTGTGTGTGTGTGTGTGTGTGTGTATGTATATATATACATATATATATATATATATATATTTTTTTTTTTTTTTTAACTTTGGCTTTTCTTTTTCCTCATAGTTTTTCTTCACTGTAATTCCCTCCATTATATATCTTTTTATAGTCTTGCTATTTTTCCCTAAGTTACCTAAGATATTTGAGAAATGGAATGATAAGTCATTTAAAGTGTGTTATCCTCCTGTGTCAGTCAGGTTCTCTAGGAAGCAGAGGCCAAGATCACGTTGGAAGGGCAGAAAGTCTGTTGAATGGCGATGAAAGATGAAGGGATGAGGGGGCCGGGGAGGGCAGGGAGAGCCGTTAGACTATGATAGTTTGGTATCCAGGAAAGGGGAGGAAGGAAAGACTGGGTAGATAAAGGCTCCGAGGGCAGTGCAGCTCTAAGGAGGTCTTAGCCAGCCAAGTTCTGGTGCAAGATGCCCCCACAGGAGTGCTTGTTTGGACAGAAATGGCCATGCCCTAGAACCAAGCTGTGCTTTACCATATCCTGGATGACTATGGTTTTGGGTCAGATGCTGGGGTGGATTCAGAAGGTGCTACTACTGGAGGCTGTCAACTAACTGGACTTGAGGTGGGGTCCCCCCGAAGGGGGGGTCTGAACCACAACCCTCCAGGGTGGAGGCACCTCCCAGCTATGCTGAACATCCTGGAGGCAAATACTGTTTTGTCCCCTTTGCAACCTTGCCCGTATTATGAGTGTCCAGTTACTCCAGGTGAGCATCCCAAATGTGAAAACATGAAGTCTGAAACTTTTTGAGCGTTGATGTGACAGCCAAATAAAATACTCATTAGAGGATCTTGGATTTTTGGATTTGGTATGCTCAACCGGTCATGCAGATATTCCAAAATCTGAAAAAAAATCCAGTCTTAAACGTTTCTGGGCACAATCATTTTGGGTAAAGGACACTCAACCTGTAGTTCCTGAATTAGTACTTCTTTTCAAAGAACTATCAGTAATTTAACAATTTAGTAGTAGCATGATGTGGTAGAAAAACCTCGGGCTTTCTAGACAAAAGTTCTGGATTCACATCTCAGAATCTTTTTTTACAGTCAAATACAGTTGAAATATAGTGCAAATAATTTAACTCCACTAAACAGCAAAAGTAGGATTAGTAATACTTTACTCCCAGAGTTGCGGGGAAGATAAAATGTCTAATTCAGTGTCTGCCATCTAGGAGATGTTGAGTAATGTTCTTCCCTCCTTTGCTATTCTTTTTTTGAATGCTTTATTGTGCAATAAAGCACTTTTATAAATATCTTCTCATTTTATTTAGATTTGGCATTTTTTCCCTAAGAAATTGAGACAAAAAAGGTAAGTGGTTGACTCAAGGTCATTCGGGCAAAAAAAGAGGCAGAGGCTAAGACTTGAACTTAACTCTTCTGGTTTTGATCCAAAAGCAGTCTTCATGTACTGTTGGCAGTTTTCAGGAAAACGGGCTGCAGTGTTCTGTCATCATACATCCACTGTCAGAAACACAGGTGACTATAGTATGCATAAAATATGGTGATGAAGTGGGCAGGGAGAGATATTGGTGCTGAAAATCTGAAAAAGGAGGCGCATTATTAAACCTTGTGAATGAAGTAAATAGAGTACTTCATATATTTTATTAAGTAAACTTATGGATAAAATGATATTTTAGGTCTAAAACGATCTAGCCAGAGAACTGTTTAAGAAAAATGGGTTTTCCTAGACCTGAAAATATAACAGGAAGAGTTTCTTTCCAGGAAGATAAACCCACTATTTGATTCTGCTTTCTGTTCCCTGCCTCATATATTACACACAGCATTTGAAGGATAGTCTTTGTGCACAGGATCCTTGAGACGAACACCTGTGCTTTGTCAAAATTTATTCCTGAAGTGTTTAGGTTTTCTGGGTTTGAAATGCTAGGGATCATGATTAACAATGGTTTTCTCAGGCAATCCCCTCGGGTCCCCTCCCCTCCCTCTGGGAGCTTTTCTGTCCTCTCAATAAATCCTGCTTTAAAAACAAAAAACCAATGGCTTTTTCATAAATGAAGATTAAAGTCATTTCGAATATACATTATAGGGTTTTGTTGCTTTTATCCCTTTCGCAAACTTGAGATGGCTTGTTCTAGATAAGCTATTGCAACAGGTTCCTATTTTTCTTTTCCATTACAACTTACTGATCAATTTGTCTGCAGTTAATGGATACAAGATGGTGTTCTGCACAGTTCTTAAGTGTTCATGAAGTCTCTTTTTCTGTGTGGCCTTCTTAAGATTAGTTTCTTTCCTGTAACCTGTGAGTTTACGTCAAATATATTGACAAGGGGCTCACTACATTCCTCCCTCCAGTTTTCCTGGGGGTACACCTAGGTGCAGCTTTGGTCTCTACTTTATGTTTTCTGGAAACATTTTAAGTCAACTCTGAGCCAGAACACTCAGACTCATTGTTCTCATTACATCTCAGACTCATTACATTCTAGATTCTTCTACGTACCTACTTTTTTCTCACACCTTTCTCCACATTTCTGCTCCTTGAAATGCTGCTTCTCTTAAAAATGCAGCTTGAGTGGGTTTTTAACTCATTCTCTCCCAACAACAAAACAATAAACAATAACAATTTTTTCTAAATCTTGAAGAACTTGGCTTGGACATTTTAATGAAGTTTATTAAAATGTTCTGTAAGTGTTATCTATGCTGAGATCTCATCTTTTCTTTCTATTTCAAATTCCTTCAAGGTAAAGATTTTTAAAAAAATTTTCACAAATGCTTAACATAAACATCACTAAATTTGCAATAATTTCTATATTGACAAATTAACTTCTGTATTTCCAACAGGGGAATTCGAATAAAATGGAAGCAAAATTTTTTTAGTCTCATAAAATAAATATATAGCAATACAAAAATCAACAATTTAGCAATTTAATGACTTGAGAGAAAAAAGATCTACCTGAATATGCTGTTGTATATAGAAAATGCAGAAAAAAGGTCTCTACCTACACACTGTTGTAACGGAAAAGAAAAGACTTGTGAATGTATTACTTAATTTAAAAAGCTGCTGGTTAAGATAGAAATTGATTAATTTCCTAAAACTCTTCATCTGTCTTTGGTATGTATATCTGCTTATGAATACATATGTATATCATTTTGTTCATGACCTTCTACTCAGGGTTTAAGATTCCAATATTGTCCTACTTCGTTCTTACCTTTATTGTCCCTAACAGTTATGAAAACTGATTGTGCTATGTTAGCTAAATTTCTTTCCCATGAAAACTGGATGCATTTTTAGACCTTGAAGGTTTCATATTTTGTTTCTCAAATACTACCTTATACAAATGGTAGACTTTATCACTGTATAAAAATGTACAGTGGTTTTATTGACATGTACATTCCAATATGTTTACAGCTGCAAGATAATGAGGCACACTCAGTATTGCACTTCATTAAAATTTCAGGCTCAAACTTAACCTAGAAGTTTAAATGAAACTGCATTTGTAATTTAGTAATTCTTATACAGGACAAACATTGATATCTTTATATATACAGTGTGATACTTATTACATTTATATGCTGTCCTAACACAATTTTTTTTAAATAACAGTCTAGGAAATAAACCAGAATATTCCTCTTTTTATACCCACCCATGATGCAATTGTACAGGATTACAAAAAGGCAGTATACAATAAACAATGATTATTTTTCTTTTTTGCTTGAAAGCCAGCATCATTCTTAGTCCATGGGCATGGCGATTCTTTTATATCAATTATCCATAAATGTCCAATGCTTCACAGGCCAGTGACGGTAATGGCCACATGCAAACACCTCACAAGTTTGATGTCTTGGTTCAAAAGAAGATAAACCAAAATAATGGAGAAACTTTCCATAGCAAGAATTATGTACATGGTATTTGGCATCCTTCTTGCACTGTGAATGGTTCATTTTCATGGATGTAAAAATGGCCCTGTCCTTATCCTGAGCAGAGTTTAAACTTCACCACATCCTCTTGGGGGATGAGGGCAACATTTCTCTCTGTAGACACAGGATCTGAGTGTTCTAAAAAGTGTGAGCATTTCTGCACACTCCACACCCCAGAGCAAACTCTTCCCCAGTGGGTGGATGAACAACATGGAGTGGACATTCAGTTCCTTCTAACTGTTTGCCTTTGGGACCTGTATAAATTTTGAAGAAGACAAAGGAGTACAATTTTAAAAAATACACCCATACAAGCCTCATATAAATAGAAATCACTGATAAGTTATTCAGAGAAATAACATGACCATGGCTATACAAATATAAAATTTTAGAAATTATTTTTCTTTTAATCACAAAGGCAAAAGTATTTACCATAAAATAACTCAATACAACGGAGATTCTTGTATATTACCGAAGAAATGACAGGGTCCCTTACCCACATCATCCTGCCTAGAGAGAACCACTATAGATCGTTTTAAATAAATGAATTAGATACGTCATTTTCAAGCAAAGAGTAATGAACAAAAATGGTTCCCCAAATCCCTCAATGTAGTCTAGCCGAACATTATTCTGAAAGGGAAAATGAAGATCTTTGTGCAGAATGTTTTTCTATAAGTAAAATGAAATTTAAGTATAAAGCGATGTTTCCTTTTTATCTTCACTGGTGAAAAAGCACACACTGGTGAAACTGAAAGACTGATTATTAGTGTTATTTTTAAAAGCATCTGAAGAGATGATAGTGAGAAAATGAAAATCAGCTTGAAAATATGAACAATAAAATATAAAATACAATAATCTGGAGGGAACACTGGGGAATATATAAGTTTGTTGATAATAAACAAATAAACCAGGCTTATAAAGTATACAAAAGTATATTCTTTATTATTTATACGTCATGGGTTTCATACTATTTCAAAAGGATTTTAGCTCCTTTATAAGCTAAAAGGCTTATTTTGTTGGGAATACAAGTTAGGCTTATACTTGAATGCAAGATTCCTACTTAACAACAGAAGGTGGAATGGGAGCAGATAGTTTCAAAATAATAAATGTAAATTCTGACTTTGAGATAAAAATATCATGAGATTGGATGAAATATCCAGATCAGTGGCAAATGAAATCTAATTTAATTTACCTCTTCTAGGTTTAAAAATGTCTCTGATGTAAAAAAAGAAAAGAAACCATAAGTGATAAAAGGTTAACATTTATAAAGCTCTTAGCTGGCACAGTATAAATGCTTAATAAGTGTTAGCAGTTACCACTATTACTGATCAACTACAAACTGAGGCCTAGGGGAATTCAATGTAAGTTCCATGTAAGATTAAAACCAAGGCCTGCGGGTAAGTACCAAACTGAAGACAGCTCATCTCAGAGAGAAAAGTCAACTGCTGGCTTAAGCCATCAGACACAAGAGTGGCATTAGTGCTACCTCAAACAAAGGCAATCAGAGACCCTAGGATGGATCAGCACAGGAGGACACCAGAAGTTTGCTGTTATACATTATTAAGTAGATCAGTATCTCCTATCCCAAATCATGCTGCTCACTGGTGCTCTCCAGTGGGTGGGGAAGAGTAGGCAGGAGGGGATACTCAGCGGCAGATCTAGTTCAGGTATACAATCCCATCAGCGGTGGCTTGTGCAAACCACAGTACTGGAGTTTTGCTCAGGGAAAAAAACAAGTGATCATTTACTCAATAAGTCTTTATTAAGTGCTTAATGTATGGATGGTGGTTTTAGGTACTTGAGCTATAAGATGATCAGTATATGACCTGTCTTCAAGGAATTCATAATCTAATATGATTTTGAGAAATACTAATAGTAAAAGTAAAAACAAAACAAGACAAAAAGTACCTGTAAACATCTGAATGCCTACTACTGGAGCACTCTGCTGGTATATCAACCACTTAATCTTTAACAGGCATAGGAGGCAGAACCTATTATCCTCATTTTGCAGATAAAAAAGCGGATGCAAAACAAACTTATTTTTTTGATTCTCAGACCCTCTTTAAAATAGTCATAGCAATATCTAATTCACGGGGTGTTGTGAAGACTAAGAATCTTAGCACAAAAAGGACAGTCAATAAATATTTTAGAAAGAAATAGAGGGTTTATACTATGATCTGAATGATTTTGTGCCCCCCAAATTTATATGGTGATATGTTAACACCAATGTTATAGCATTAGGAGGTGGCGCTTTGGGATGTGATTAGGCTGTGGGGCAGGGCCCATGAATGGGATCAGCACTTTTACTATAAATGAGACTGGAGAAAGACCTCTTACCCCTTCCACACAGCAAGAAGGTGCCATCTATGAACAAGGGGTGGACCCTCACCAGACACAAAACACTGCCAGTTCTTGACCTTAGACTTCCCAGGCCCCAGAACTGTGAGAAATAAACTCCTGTTGTTTATAAACTATGGTTTATGGTATTTTGTTATAGCAGCCCAAAAGGATTAAGATTATATCTATTTCAATTTCTTAATCTGGACTCATCCTCATCCATATATTAAACATGAGACTTAATGGAGTTGAGCGTGGTTAGAGAATTGGTCCTTCTGTCTATCCAAGTCAATTGCATATGGCCATCTTCCCTACTGATATCTCCTTTATTCTACCCCAGTTCTCTAAATGAATGGATGAGTCAGAGGAATGTATAAGGCTGGGAAATCAAACCTCAACCTGAGTATGATTTTAGGCCAGTTAATCTCTCTAGGCCCCAATTTTCCATTTGTGAACCCAAGGATAATACCTTGCAAAAATTAAGTGAGAAGATATATACAGAAATTCCAAGGATCAACATCAGTGCCTTTCCTCTGCCGACTCCTAATTCCCTTCCTGCCTTATTCCTGTGATTCTTTTGTTGGCTGACCTGATCACATGACTGAAAAAGGGAAGCCTGCCCCCCCCCCACTCCCCACTCTCTCAGTTACTACCCCACCACTGTGTTCTCTGGAACTTGTTACATTGCTAACTTTCTTAATATTTCCACCATTGTTTTGTTGTTATTGTTGTTTTTGAACAAAGAAACTTTCATTAAGTAAAATTTTGATTTTCCCTGGTGTTGTTGCTTACATCAAAACTTTCTTAACTGGAGGATGTTACCCAGCTCTTTCATGTAATAAGGCCAGAAAGCATGACTGACATTTTCCTGGTTTCCATTTATTTCCAGACCATGACCTACAACTTTCATTCTATAATCCCCCTTCCCTCGAAGCTCAAATCCATCTAGAATCATGTAGAATACTGCCCCTTTTCCACTATCTTCATTTGTAGACCACCTTCTCCCTCTAACTGGGGCTCTTATCTCTACTCTGGCCATTGTCCTGAACACCCTGGCCTCTCACATCATTCTAATCTTGTTTTTTCCAAAGTCTGCTACTCCTATTTTAAAAAAACAGTTTATGGGGAGAACAGTATAACAATTTTTGACTTGAGCAAATGACAAGAAGTAGTTATACTTTAAAAAAAACTCTTTTTGAATAAAGAACATATTTTGCATGGTTTGAAAGCCCAAATATTAAAAGCTATATACAATCAGAAGTCAGCTTTCCACCACTACAATACTGCCATAGGTAGCTATGTTTATCTGTCCTTTTTACCTTCCTCACATGTGTAGCTATACCCAGAAATGGGAGTGCTGCAGGGTTGAGACACTGGTGTTTTGAGAGGCACTATCTAACTGCTTTCCAGAGGAGCCTGCTACCTGCACTCCAATTAGCAAAGGATGACAGTGTGTTTCCCAGGTTTTTTTTTGTTTGTTTTTTTTTTAGTCAGAGTCTTACTCTGCTGCCCAGGCTGAAGTGCAGTGGCACACTCATGACCACTGAAGCCTCGATCTGCCAGACCCAGGTGATCCTTTCACCTCAACCTTCCAAGTAGCTGGAACCATAGGCGCGAGCCCCCACACCCACTTAATTTTTTGATTTGTTGTAGAGATGAGGTCTCACCAAGTTGCCCAGGCTGGTCTTGAATCCCTGGGCTCAGGCAATCCTCTCACCTCGGCCTCCCAAAGTGCTGGGTTACAGGCGTAAGCCACCATGCCTGGTCGTGTTTCCCAGCTTTAACAATACTGCATAATGTGCTGTATGTACTTGAGCATATTTTTTCACCAATTTCAGAGATATCTTTTTTTTTTTTTTTTTTTGAGTTGGAGTCTCACTCTGTCGCTCAGACTGGAGTGCAGTGGCCGCTCTTGGCCACCGCAGCCTCGACCTGCTGGGCTCCGGCGATCCTTCCGCCTCAGCCTTCCAAGTAGCCGAAATTACAGGCATGCGCTACCACGCCCGGCTGATTTTTTGATTTATTGTAGAGATGAGGTCTTGCTGCCCAGGCGAGTCTCGAAACCGCGGGCTCAGGCAATCCACTCACCTCAGCCTCCCAAAGGCACGGGATTATAGGCTGAGCCACCGAACCCGGTCAGAGATATCTTATATAAAATTATCTTCTAAGGTAGCATTTACCTCTCCTTTCACTTTCCTCACTTCTCTTTAAGCCTGCAAAACCACCTCACTGTGATCATCAGCCTCCCGACCTCTTCTAATTTTTTTAGTCTCTGTTGGTTTCATATTCCTTCTTCCTCAGCCTGATCTCCACAGACAATCATTTCTCCTGTATTCTCAATGGCTTCTTTAATTTCCTTGGCTTTCGGATGCTCACTGTGCTGCCAATTCCCAGCCATTCTAAATCAAATCACTGTCAATTTTATGACACTGGCTCCAGGCTTGTCAAAAATCACAAAATTCTTTTAAATGGTTCTATCATTAATTTATGATATAAAACTTCACATGGCCCTTTAGTGCCATACAGCACTTTCAATGGATCCTTAGAAGACTTCGTTCTCACTCCCTTAGGGCTTCTCCATTGCAGCTCCCAACTCCTGACTCACAATGATGAGCTTACTATGTACTCCTTCACTCAGAAGACCCTATTATGCTTACAAGGGCAAGGAATGCCCTTTGCTTCTTTAGGGTAGTCTGAATTTGGTTTCATCCTTTAAAACAAAGAGTTCTCATATAATCTTTAAACAAAAGTAGATATCACATAGATCCGAATCATGATCTTAAAACATTAGATGCATACCTGCAGGACAGTGTGGTAGCTCTTCCTTGGGAATGCTAGTCATTCTTTGAAAGTCATCATGACAAGCATTACAAAAATGGGTTGTTCCAAAACAGAAAAAGACAGCCACTGAACAGCAGTAGCGACATTTATATTCCAAAAAGTCTGTGCCATGTTTGGGACACATCTATAGCAAAAAAAAAGAGACAGACATGAGATCATAGCAAAATTATTTAAGTTATAATGAAAACAGTCATATACATGGCCCATTCATTTATATTTTGACAGCATCCATAGCATCAAAACTGAAGATAAACATGTTAAGAAACTAACAAATAAATATGTGGCTTTGCCCCAAAGATCTGGACAAAGACCCAAGTTTCAATCCCATCTTCATCATAATCCATCTGATTTATTAAACAAACTACTTGGTTTTCTTGTGAATATTTTATTACCTGCAATATTGAAAATTAATCACATTTAATCTATCATCAAAGAGGGGAAAAGCTAAAAGTTTCACTGCAGGTTTAAGAAACCAAGAAAATGAAATAAGTAAATTTATTACATGTTTAAATATGGTAATCATTTCATGGAAGACAAAATGATAAAATGGCATCCAAGAGAAATAATATATATGAAATAATGTGAAAAATTATACAATGCTGAACAGATTTCACAAAATACTGAGGGAAAAAAAGCCCTATTTATCTTCCCTTCATATTGGTTATATTATTATTTAAAAAACAGAATTTTAATATTTCTAAATGGTCTTTTCTAGTAAAATGTTTTGCCCACCTGAGCCCTGGACACATCAGAACAGGCACCACAAATGAGCTCTCTTGGATCATAATCATCCCCTTGTCCAGCCTCAGCATCACAGCGAGCTTCACCACCAAAATATGCCTGTTGAGTGAACATATTTAGATTACAGAAGAAAAAAAAAAAAAACTCTGGCATGGGAGCTACAGTATAGGTGTAGTGAAAGTAACAGCAAGACATCTTAGAAAGCACTACTGTCTATCAGACTCTCCGTGAAACACCAGGGGCATGCCCATAGGGCAAACACCTCCATGCCACGACACAGGCTATTCCTCTTTCCGGAATGTCCTTCATTACCACCTCCTGCTAACTGTAGGGTGGATCAGGGTAAGAAATGAAGCTATATCAATTCTGGAAGGGATTCATGCTTATAGCAGGGAGTTACATGGTACTGTCAAAGCAAAATACAAAAAAAAAAAGTAAAATATTCCAAATAAACATCAAGAATAGAATATTAAGTAGTGAATAAAAACTATGATTTTTCAGGGTAGAATCAGAGTAATTTTTTTCATTTTGAAATGTTAAACATTTCCCTTCTACTGCTTTTAAAAATACGGTTTACAATTCCCAAAGTATAATGCTGTAGAACAAAAATATGCCTAAAACAATTAGTACAGAATTTTAGTTGTAAGGCTAATGTAGAAAAAAATAAATGTTATGCATCTTCTGATCATATAAACATTTTTTTTTTTTGAGTTGGAGTCTCACTCCGTCACCCAGGCTAGAGTGCAGTGGTATGCTCATGGCCACCCCACTGTCGACCTGCTGGGCTCCAGAGATCCTTCCACCTCAGCCTTCCAAGTAGTGGGAACCACAGGCATGCGCTACCATTCTGGCTAATTTTTTTTTTTTTTTGAGTCAGAGTCTCACTCTGTTGCCCAGGCTGAAGTGCAGTGGCATGCTCACGGGCACCACAGCCTAAACCTGCTAGGCTCAGGCAGTCCTTCTGCCTCAGCCTTCCAAGTAGCTGGAACTACATGTGCAGGCTACCACGCCCAGCTTATATTTTGATTTATTATAGAGACGAAGTCTCACCAAGTTGCCCAGGCTGGTCTTGAATCCCTGAGCTCAGGCAATCCTTTTGCCTTGGTCTCCCAAAGTGATGGGATTACAGGCTTGAGCCACCACACCTGGCTAATTTTTGAGTAATTGTAGAGACAAGGTCTCACCAAGTTGTCCGGGCTGGTCTTGAACCCAGCTCAGGTAATCTACTCTCCTCAGCCTTCCAAAGTTCTGGGATTACAAACTGAGCCACTGAGCCCAGCCAACATTTTCTTAAAAATTTGGTAATTCTATTCAAAATATTGCTCATACTTTTACTTTTAGAGACAGGGTCTTTCTCTGTCATCTAGGCTGGAGTGTAGTGGTATGATCATAGCTCCCTGTAGCCTCAAACTCCTGGTCTCAAGCGATCCTCTTGCCTCAGCCTCCTGAGTAGTTAGGACTACAGGTACGCACCATCAAGTCCAGCTAATTATTATTATTATTTTGACTCAGGGTCTCATTCTGTCACCCAAGCTGGAGGACAGTGGCACATTCATAGCTCACCACAACCTCAACCTCCTGGGCTCAAGTGGTTCTCCCGCCTCAGCCTCCTGCATAGCTAGGACTAGAGGCATGGACCACCATGACCAGCTATACTTTTTTTTGTAGAGGTCAAGGTCTTGCTATGTTGCTCAGGGTGGTCTCAAACTCCTGGGCTCAAGCAATCCTCCCATCTCAGCCTCCCAAAATGTTGGGATTATAGGCGTGAGCCACTGTGCCTGGCTCCCAGCTAATTAATTTTAACTTTTGTAGAGATGAGGTCTTGTTATATTGCCCAGACTAGTCTTGAACACCTGGCCTCAAGTGATCCACCTCAGCCTCCCAAAGCCCTGGGATTACAGGCGTGAGTCATCATGTTCAGCCTGTTCAAACATATACAGCTACACTATACACAGGAAGTCAACGGTATCTAATAGACACTTGAATAAATAAAACTATCACAATGAATGATCTACTTCCATTTCCTCTTGGCAAAAAACAAATGAGGACAAGAAACTGGGATAATGTGCATGGACATCATGTCCTATAGTAAAACAAACTATGTCCAAACTGGGAATCAATATGCTGAGTCAACATAAATCTATCACCTACACTAGAAAAACAGGTCAAAAGACAGAATCCACTGATGTAGAGGTTATCAATGGTGGTTCACCAGCTAAATCTGGTCCTAGAAGTATTTCAATTCATCTTTAGGCCTATAGCTTGTTCTAGCTGTTTCATTCTTCTATATCCTTTGCTTGGCTTCCTAAACATTTGACTGCCACTTTATGACAGCACAATATTCATTTATAATGTTTAGCACATTAATCACACAGAAATAACAATTTATTATTTGTAACTGTAATACAAGTTTCACAAATGTACACTATTGGGTATGTGTATCATCTCTTTAGTCTTCCATTAATTACCTGTATTTTCTTTTTGTTACATTGAGGGACTATGCTTCTTTCATTTAGTAATTCTTTCACTCATTTATTCATTATCAGCTTCACTTAGTATCTACTAAGTGCCAAGTATTGGAGACAGAGATGGAACTTAATAAATGGGGCAGAGAAACAAGTGAGCAGTAATTATAATGCAGAACAGAGTGTGCTATGATGAATGCATGCAAGATATCAAAGACAGGTGGCAGTGGTTTTGATGATGGTGGTGAGACGGGGGCATATTACAGAGGAGGTGAAACCTGAGTGGAATGCTGATGTATATGACAGATTTGGCTTGCATGAAGATATGTGTGTACGGGATGGGGTGGCAGGTGAAAGTAAAATACACAGGAGAAGGCAGAGAAGAAAATTCCATAAAGAGAAATGGTCTGTGCAATGTTATAGGGGTGCCAGTGAGTGAGAACACATGGCTAAGTTTGGTAAATGCAGGCTGCTCAGGATGTTGCGGCAGAGAGAGCAAATAGTAGGACACCAGGAGATGGAACTGTAGAGAGAGACAGACTTTTGTAAGTAGAAAAAGGATACAAATTTAAGATTTAGAAATATTAATCTACTAGTAGCCTTGTAAATTTAAGGGATGGAATGGAGGAATTAGGAGTTCCACATCTGGGCTCAGGAAGAAGGCTGCTATAGTTACCAAAGAAAGTGATCAGGGTTGCTGGAGATTTAACAAAAAGAAACAAAGAATTCAAGAGAGATCTGGAAACATAACAGACAGGACTTTGTGCATGAAGATTAGAGACTGGGAGAGTCAGGATTGGTAAACGTGCACTTTGAGGTATGTGTGAGAAATTCCAACATTTGGTAGGCAGTTGGGTATTTGTATTTACATCTCAAAAATTTTGGAAGGCCACAACAGTATAGGTGATAGGCAATGGACGGGCAGGAGGGCAGGAGGTATGAAGAGACAAGAATGGAGGTTTGGGAAAACAAGGATGTAAAGGATAGGTAAACAAAAAGGAACTTGATAAAGAAGTTGAAGACAAATAGCCAGAACAAAGGAGGACATCAAAAGAGTGTTGTCCTGGAAGCCATGGAAGTAAGAATTTTAAGAAAGAAATGGTCAGCAGAGTCCAGTAAGAAAAGTGTATACAAAAACCAGCTGGATTGGGCAAACAAGAGGTTATTTACTGATGGGAAGTACCTTGTATACACAAATAGTACATAGTTTGAAAAAAGTTTGTTCAGTTAAAAAAAAAAATTCCCAAACAAATTAAGTAAACAAGTTCAAAATGAAACACTGAACCAGGCTTTCTCATTTTTAACTTCAGGCTTAAGATGTAAGAATAACTAGGTATCGTTATACAGTTCAACTTCCTAATCATATAGGTAAGCTTTGGTTCTTAAAACTTCTTAGTATGATTTACAGCATACCTTTCTGCATTTGTAACAGACATAATATGCGTATCTATTCATTGCATAGCCAGCAGGGTCATTGTAAAACCTCACACCAGGAGTAGTGATCGCTTCACTCTTATGCAGACCTTCATATTCCAATCTCATTAAGGCTTTTCTTCTGACATCCTCATAGAGTTCTTTTATTGGATCAAGCAGGTCTTTTAATACGATGTGATTTATTTTGTTCTGAAATTTAAAATGAACAACCTTTAACAGAGTCATATATTTTCAATTCAACAAACATTTACTATGCACCTACTAAATGCCAATCACCAGTACACATATTCTAAATAAAATGTCACTCAAAAATCATTATGTAAAGTCCTTATGAGCCCCTATTTTCCCAAGAGCAGGGAAAATGGCGACAGATGGGGCACAGAGCACAAAAATTACATTTTATTATCCATGTATTTCTTGGGTCTGAAATATAACTCCTGCTATCTTAGCTGTTCTGGAAATAAAGCTACCTTGCTGCCACAAATAAGACATACTTTGTGTGTGTGTGTGTGTGTGTGTGTGTGTGTGTGTGTGTGTGTGTGTATTTTGGCTCCTTGAGGGTCAGGTGGAATGTCAGGTGGCAGACAGTGTTTTCTTTCTTTTTTTTTTTTAGTAGGAGTCTCACTCTGTCACCCGGGCTGGAGGGCAGTGGCATGCTCATGTCCACTACAGCCTCGAATTGCTGGACTGAGGTGATCCTTCTGCCTCAGCCTTCGAAGTAACTTGAACCACAGGCATGTACCACCACACCTGGCTACTTTTTTGATTCACTGTAGAGACAAGGTCTTGCCAAATTGCCCAGGCTGGTCTCCAACCCCTGAGCTCAGGCAATCCATTCGCCCCTGCCTCCCATAGTGCTGGGATTATAGGCATGAGCCACTGTGCCCGGCTCAGATAGTGTTTTCTATATTGCCTTCATGTATCGATTTCCACATTCCCAAATGTGGCATCATATGAGAGGGGAGAGCAAAATGCTACAATCTTCTAGATTATTCCATTTGTCTAACTAGGCAATGATTATGCCAAGTATTTTCATATTATACCCTTTACACTAGCCTGAAAATATGAAAATTTAAAAATAGGGAGAACTTAAGAGAACAAAAAGGAATGAAAAATTAATAGGAAAGGCATTGCCATATTCTTAAAGGTTTTTTAAAATCATTATTAGCTTGCCAAAACAACTTCCAACTTGCTTACTACTTTTGTAGAGATGTGTCAAAATACCAAAAATTTCCTCCTTTTTAAAAAAACTGAATTCTAAAAGAGTTTTTTCTAAAGGCACTGAAGGTTCCAATCTTACTCTTTAATGGCAGGTATCAGTACCTATAAACACCAGAAGATCCTTCTTCTTTTTGGTAGTTACCAATTGTCATACCAAGTGACCTCAGCTCTCAGGGGATCTGAAAGTAGTCATGCATATCCTTTAATGTATCACAATGTCTAAATGAATTTAACTAGTTTTTTGTTTGTTTTTTGAGTCAGGGTCTCACTCTGTAGCCCAGGACAGCATGCAGTGACACAATCCTGGCCCATTGCAAACTTAACCTCCTGGACTCTAGTGATCCTCCCATTGCAGCCTCACGAATGGCTGAGACTACAGGTGTGTGCCACCATGCCTGGCTAGTTTTTTTTTTTTTTTTTTTTTTTCCGTAGAGACTTGGTCTTGCTCTGCTGCCTAGGCTGGTCTGAAATTCCTGGGCCTAAGCAATCCTCCCACCTCGGTCTCCCAAAGTGCTGGGATCACAGGTATGAACCAATGCACCCTAGCTTTAACTAGTGTTTAATTAATAATTATGGTTTGAAATGCACTGTAATAGATTATGTAATATTCTCAAGTATCTCAAGGATGGAGGGTAGACCTACTGGTATGTGACAAAGTAAATTGGAGAGGGCACAAACAGATGCGGACACACATTTATTTTGAAAGATTTAAAATAAAAGATGAAAAGAAATAGAAAGTAGATGATTTCAGATTCTTTCCATACCTTGCAAATAGGACAAGATATAAATCCAAATGTTATCCTTGGGCCAAGCCATCTGTTTTCTAAAACTCGCCGACAGCACTGTAAATGGAATACGTGACTGCAGTCCAGCTGAAAAAGACAAAAGAAGGATATAAGCAAATGTTATAATGATGAAGACATGAGTAACTGGGAGATTATTTAATATAAGGAGCCTCTTAAAGTGAATTAACAGAAAAGTTAAGAAAGTTAGTATGATGAAATTGTAGTATGTCTATTATTTATGGATATTATTAACTATCCCTCAGCTTCTCCCAATTTTTACCATTCATATGTTAATGTCACTTATATAAAATATACCAGGTTAGGGAGACATATAAAATTATTCAATTTTGTATCTCATGGAGAGAAGAGGAAATTACTGATATAAAGATTTAAGGTTTTTTGGGAGAATGTTCATTATCTTGGAATCACAGGATCTGAAAATATATATAAACAGCAGAAAAAAGTTTTAAAAAATTATTCAGTACACAGTAACTAACTGCTAATATGTATAAAGGTATGTATTATTATGCACAGATCAATTATATAATGCTATAAAATACTATTTTGGATTGTGGAAATTAAGAAGACACTAGCTATTGAATAATATAATTATTTTCCTATTTTTCCCCCTTCTGGACATTTTATACATTCTTCTTCTTCTTCTTTTTGAGCCAGACTCTTACTCTGTCACCCAGACTGGAGTGCTGTGGCATGATCACAGCTACCGCAGCCTCAACCTGAGGTGCTCAGGTGATCTTTTGGTCATAGCCTTCCAAGTAGCTGGAAGTACAGATGCGTGCCACCATGCATGGCTAATTTTTTTTCTCTTAACTGTAGAGACCAAGTTTTGCCAAGTTGCCCAAGCTGGTCTTGAACCCCCAGACTTAGGCAATCCACTCATCGCAGCCTCCTGAAGTGCTGGGATTATAGGCGTGAACTACCACACCAGCCCTGCATTCTCTTGATTATATAGGCTCACACAAATCACAAACTAAAGGTGAGCATACAAAAGGGAAGCAGAATACAAAAAGGTAGAATATGTTCCTCATTAACCTGGTAGATATATACACTAAAAAAAATTTTTGCCTAGTGATATAAAAAAGATTTCAATCGTTTTTTTATTTGACAAATATATTTATATTTCTCCATGTTAAAGTCTAGATACATTCAATACTTTAAAGGCAACCTGAATGGCTGGTGCTGCCGAAAGTGCTTCAGTGAAACATATCATGCACATGTCATCAGCATCTTGCTTCAGTGTTGTGGCACTCTTGTCACAGCCGTGTAGACAGGGCAAACAATGCTCTTCATTTTTAACACCTCCACATGGATGGCCACAAGGATGCGTCTTACTACAAGCTATCTTAGCATATTCCTGTTAAATATGAATTATAAGTATTACACTTTCTGGTAATTTTATGAAGTAAAGTTATTTCTATTCTTCATTCGAATGTAATGTAGAATTATTAATAAAGTCTGTTCTTCTTTTAATGTGATTTTAAAAAATTCATCCCATATAAAAGAAATGTTGACAAAAAGTGAATTACAATTTTATATGTGTTATTATGCATAGACACGAAACAAAAAATTCCTGATGTACAATTTCCAATCACCACTCCTCCTTTACCAAAATAGAGATTTTAAAAAATGAACACTGGTACTTTTCAGAATCTGAGTATATCCAATTACTTGCTAAAGGGATTGAACAAAAACATTAAATATGTGTACATATGTTCAGGACTAAAAAATTCTCAGATACTGAAAATTTATTTTGGGAAAATAAGTGAATAAAGTATGCAAGAGGTAAAGGAAATACAATTCTGTTTCTAATACAAAAGTAAACATTAAGTACATGACTGTGGTAATTGATAAACATACAAAAAGAGTCTCTTTTGGGTTTGAGACAAACATATTTATATTTCCCCATGTTAAAGTCTAGATACATTCAGTCCTTTAAAAGCTGAGGCAGCCTGAACGGCTGGTGCTGCCAAAAGTGCTATATATAAAAACTGCAAATATAAAAACGGCAGATATAATAATTGGAGAGCCTTACTGCTCCCATTCTCCAATTTTGAGAAGCATTTAACACTTGACATAGGTAATACACTAATTTAGAAAGCTAGAGGGATGCTGAACTTTAACTCTCACATCCAGTGAAGTCATGTGGGAATACGGGCTTATTGCTCACTGGGATGGCCTAACTATATACTCACCTGGCAATCTGCATCAGAGCAAACACTGCCAACAGCAGACAACTCTGTTCCACTCCTGGAGCCACAGAAACGACATGCTTCTGAGCTACTTGTGGTGGGCTTGCCTAGGTTCAAGCAGAAAATGAAAAATCCTCCTTAAGGATATGTTTTCTACACCTTTTAATATAACTTTTTTTAAAAAAGCAAACTTGGTTCATATCAGTTGCCATCACTGAGAAATCAGCCTGACAGTGTTATAGCTAAAGGTTTGAAACTTGTTCTAATTATAAAGTAAATAGTCACAAAAAGTGAGTTAAAGAACTATCTGAAGCCAAATAAATTCCTGACTTATTTATACTCTTTCAGTAAAAGAAATAGACCAGACTTCTAGTAGAGTTACCCAAACTGAGGAAATGTATCACGTCTCCCAACTTCAAATGTGCAATGCCAGATAAAATATAACAACCAAAAATTAAATGAAAATACACAGAAGATAGGGAAATCTTTAAGTATCTTTATATAACAACAAAATTACAAGACATAGAAAACCTATATCAGAAAGTATGAAATTTGAATTCCTACAGAATTTCTACCCAAAGAACCCTGCAATTTGAAAAGGAATTTAGATATGTTGGAAATAAAGAAAAAAAACCCATAATTCATAAAACAAGGACAGAGTAATAAGAAAAAGAATAGGAAGATTTGAAAATTATAAACTAAGTTCATTTTAAAACACAGATACATAAGTCTAAATACAATTAATAGCTAGCAATACACTGAAATCAGCTATGTTTACAGAAAAATATTTTTTAAAAAGAAGAGTTTATATCACAAATACAGGAGTTGTTAAACACTAGAACATAATAAACAGCACTGAAAAATTATAGGAGGAAAAAAAATCAGCTATGAGGGAAAAAACGGCCATGCTTTTATAGCATGAAAAGCCATTCATATTTACAATTAAATTGATTCAGGTTTATGCCTAACTTCAACAATGAAAGCTTACATCAGTTAGAAAAATGGCAGACTACAGATATGCTGAAAATTGAGAATTTGTAAGACTCAATGTAACTTTAAGCTAGGAACACACAAGATTTACTTTAAAAAAAAGTAAAATGGAAACTGTTTGAGATAAAAGTATGTTAAACATATATAAGTTACTTTTTGTTTAAAGTAATATCTATTCATTTGGGCTATTTCATTACTATCTAATGGAAACAGTACCATTTAAAAAATCTTGAGTAGTACTGGATCTATAAAAACCTCTGAAAATATCATACAATCATACAACCTTTCAGTGAAAAGAGACGGTGATCATCTAGCTCAGCAATTTTCACTGTGAGGCTACAATTAACAGAACCAGAAGGGAATATCAAGAGAAGTGATTTTGATTTTATCTAGGGAGCCCCCATTCATTGCGATGCTTACTTATGGGAATATATCTAGTACCTCTGAAGGTTGTCTGTCACATGCATCTCTGGACAACTGTCTCACTTTATAAATGAAGACAATGAGTCCAAGAGAGGTTCAGTGACTTGCACAAGGTCACACAGCTAGTTAGTGGTAAAGCAGGTTTTCTGACATTTTGTCTAATGCTCTTTCTATCACAGAACACTGTCTACATCTAGTAAATATAATAATATAGACAGCGACCAATGATGTCATAATTGAACATCAGGATGTCACTCAAAATTATTCACATTAAGAGAAGCAACCCCTGGTTTAGTTACAATCAATAGGCATGGTTCAGACTTTAATCCTCTTTTACCCGTGTGTTCTCGGAATTCCACCATTGCCTTCATTGTTTTAGAATCTGCTAATGCCATCAACCAGAACAATTTGGTTCTACCACAACCTTCATGAAGGTCCACCTTTATAGCTTCCTCTTCTTCTTTGAAGACCTATTGTTTCATAAAAGAGGGAAACATATATTTATTTACCACTCTGAAAGAAGTATCAAATTTAATTGTGTATTCAATAATAATAATAATAGCTTTCATTTATGAAGCACCCGAAGAAGTTTCTGTTATTTCTCCACTTTAATCGTTAAAACAGTCCCATTTTTATAACTGTGGAAACCAAGTTATGGAAAGGTTAAACAACTTAATAAATTTATGGTTAATAAAGAAGACAGCTGGGAGCTCAACCAGTCTTAGATTCCAAAGTCCATTTTTTCTCACTACACAAAGCCTCTTTCTCACATTTATTCAAAATTCATTGAATATATTTTATGCTCCAGATATTGTTCTGGGTATAAAGACAGAAATTATCACCTGTCTTTGATGAGTTTTGGTTCGTCGATGAAGATGAAGGAATCTGTCACAGTCAGTACATAAATTTCCACAGACGTTGCATAAAATGATTGCTGCAGTTTCACCATCATCATGGTTATCACACATAGGCTAAAATAAGACATTCCCACATGTTACTAAGACTAATAAGAAAGTCTAGGATATTCAGACAAATTGAATGTATTTTATTTACAATAAAACAGGATATTATTCTGAAATCGATTAATAATTTAGAATCTGAAAAAACAGAATTATCTCAAGTGAACTTAACTATAAAAATCTCTCAAAATCCCAAGTTCAAGAATTAACTTGCTATGCAGTTTCAATGATTAACAAAAATGAACATATATTTTGCTTAGTGACTTAATGAGGAAATATTGTTTTCATCATATTTCCAAACATTCTGCATGTCAAAGGAATGAATAATTTATTTTTGAAATGTTAACATGAACACGAGGATGTTGGAAGGGCCTATCAAAAGTCTTCCCTTCCAGTGTCCCTAAAGATATCCACCAAACCTACTTTAAGGTCACATGTGGCTGCCATGCTGCCTGTGTTCTTTATTTCCTTCCTACCATTAGACTAATTACATTTTAGTACAAAATCTAGACACAGAATCATATTCTGGCTAAAAATAAATTTTGATATGATGTAAACATAATTCAAAGAAGGAGAAAGCTCTTTTATATAATTAAATAAAAGCCTCCAAAGTTTCCAATATACAACTATGAAGAGAAAGTGAAATAGAATTGAAATAGACTTGTAAGATGAACTTGGCCAATAGGAAACAATTTTTCAGGAGTTCCACTGATTGTGTATTTTGACTTACTTTTTTTTTTTTAAAGCTAAGATAAGGCTTACATAAAGAAAACCAATATAAATTCTCATAAACTAATTCTGATCTTACCATTTGTTTTTGTTGTCCATCCTTTCCCATCCATCTGCCTGAGGAGAGACGATCTACATGGTCCTGATCAAGAACACAGAGTGATGCTAGAGCAAGCCAGAGCTGTTGAAAGGAAAGGGTGTTACACAGATTAATTTTTAGGAAAGGCTTATAAAACACGGACTGTCTGACACATTACAACAGCTTGATAAACGCTGGCTGATTTTGAAAATATACTCAGTGGCACTAAAGTTTTCCTGATATGGTACCAGGCATACATGATCACTGCTATATGTGCCATGCATACAATAGGCACTCAAATAAATATGAACAAATGACTGTTTCTCTGATGAACCATCCTGTTTTTTTTCCTTGACATATGAAATTATCCCTTATTGGTCTACTATGTAAACAACAATATTTACTATAGTAATGCCTTCTGCATATTTTTCCATTTAGTATCATCTGCCTGAGGCACTACATTTCAAAGGTGGCAGTACAGTGACTGTTTAACCTTATAGTCCCGGAGTGGGTACATATTAAATCCTTCTAGATAACAACAGTTCCTCAGAAGTCTCTGTTGCCCAAAGGGCTTAGCAATATACTTGTTGCACTTTGTCAGAAACAAAAGTCTAAAAAACTTCAGAAAAATGCCTAAAAAATAGTTTCAAAATTTCTGAGGCTTAAAAGCTAAGTTTCAGTTTTACATAAAATGATATATTCTTCATTAATGAAAAATAGAAAACTACTTAACAGGTTCAACTCTAAAAAGTACATGTGAGTGTCACTGGATAAAGAAAGCAAGAGATGGCAAAATAGGGATGAGAAATAGAATAAAAATAATGCAAGCAAGGAGAAAGGAAGAACCCAAAATGAAAGAAAGGAATGCATGCATGATGTGAAATGGTTACTGTCAAAATACCTGCTTCAGGTGTCACACTCACTAGCTAGATAGCATAAACTGGCTTTTTCTTCCCTAGGGAAATACACGTTATCTTCTTTTTCAGATTTCTGAGGATGAATCTAAGTAATTTTTTTTTACCAGTGTTCACATGTTCCTAATGTTGTCATGCAACCCTAATGACTGCCCTGCTTCAAGGAAATCTTAAATCCCCTCTGAAAGTGTATGGGATATGAAAGCTGGTAGGTTAACATTTACTACAAATCTTTCATCTGAAGAATGCAACTCACTTCCCTAGAGATTCCACCCCACAAAGTCCTGTGCAAGCACTTCTTGCTCTTTAAAAGACCCATAAACTCAGTAAGGAAGCGACAGGGTTCCACATCAGGAACAGCCAGGCCATAAAAAGGAGTATCGGGAGGAGCCTTGTCTTCAAGGGACCCCCAGTCTATCACAACATAAGGCTGACACTAAATTTACTGTGGTGTGCTTCAATGAATAGATAATCAGAAAGACAATACTTAAACACAATGTAATTAAAGCCTTTTCTAACCAGTATAACTCAGCTTCCTAAATAACAAAAACAAGTGATATAGTGAAAAGTAACTATCACCACATTTTATAATTTATAAAAGTCCTTTATATTTTTGCAATACATACAGTATATGACTGAAAAAGGATTAAGTTGATTTAGTGATTGAAATTTGTTCAAATCTACTACTAAAATAGAACACAATGATACACACCAAATTAAAAATAAAAAATAAATAACCTACTCTAGTTGTTGCAATACATCTCACTGGAGACCTAAATTCTTCTTCCATCTTGGTCAAGGCAATGATGGTTTCTGCAATAGCATTTTTTGTCACTCGGGACCAAGCTTCTGACAGATGACCCTATTGAGTAGGGCAAAATATTTTAACAAGTAGTCAGAAATGAGTTATTATAATGCATTCTTTTCTCTTAAATGACATCTCTCACCAAAAGGAAAGACTTAGATTTTTAAACTAAAAATTTAACTTTTAATCTTGATTTTGACGATTTTTTCCAAAGTAAATAAAATTTCAAGTTATCAATACTCTTTTCCTACAGAGTTCAAGAGCATTTCTTCTTGTATCTGAATAAAAGTATAACAGAAATACTAAGGTTATTCATGCTTGAAAAATTCTGTTACGCAACATAAAATATATTTACAGCTAACTGCCTTACACAATTATTACTGGAACAAAACATAAATGAGTTCAAACTACAAAAACTTTTATTTACTATCTTGATTTGTAATGAACAAACACTTAACTATTACAGAATGTAGGTGTTCCTAAACATTACTTCCAAATATTCTTATCCAATGTATTCCTTGAGAAAGCCTATTTGTCACAAAGATTGAGAAAATGTTCATGCTGTTAGGAAAAGTGAAAAACTTCATCTTTTCCCCAGAATTGTCTCCTACTTCTCAAATCTATATGTTGCCAGTCTTTAAGGGGCAATTCCTTCTTTTCCAAAATGCCTTCAATTCACTGTGTCTCTCAGGGACCTATATTCCACAGTATCTTGTCCTTCTCAGCCTGGCCTCCTAGAAATACAATAAAATGTGTGGAAACTGACATTATGGAGCAAGTAATAAGAGACAGGCATTCTGTGAAGTAATTCTCTGTCCTCTACACTCCCAGATCTTCTCCCAAAGTTAGCATCTTAAGATAGTGGTTTGGGGCATTCATAAAGAAGAATAAAGGCTTTAAAAACCACTAGGACTTGAAGAGAATCAGAAATTTCCATTTCTGGGAGTCCTTTTTTTTTCTTTTAGTCTTTTGGACTCAGGTTCTTGCTTATGGTCTGAAAGAGCAAATTTTATTTTATTAAGTTTTAAAGTCTTGGAAGACTTATGTAATAATTCTCAAGTAAATTAATTAAGAAATTTGAAATGAATATAGTTAACATAAATGATGAATTTGTCATTCAATATAAAGACAAATGACATACTAGTTAACACACTAACAACAGTCTTTAAGTAAAGGAAAATTATACTAATGTAATTCTATCAATTTGGCAGAAAAAACTGCTTGTTTTGTCAATCAGATTTCTGCTGCACCTCACTGCTACAGCATCAAGAGAATGGGAACTTACTGCTGCCATATCCTTGATAAGTTTAATGATGATCTCTGAGATCTGGGTAGGAGTTGAACCCTTCATCCACCAATGACTCTCGCCTCGTCGGAGATAACTACAAAGAAAAACCAGTAATTACAAACCAAAAACTATCAGTGGCAGTTGTTATGAATGACGAAGATGAAAGTGTCATTTCAGCCATATAGCATTCTAGATTTTTAAGTGACTGAATCAATTATAACATTTATAAGAAATTTAATCAAAGCGTTATTCAAAATCTCTCTCTTCAATCCTAAGAAAGTAGCTAAACTGATTTATGTTCCCTTTCAAATATTTCTGTTTGTACTAACTTTAGTGTGTGTCATCTAGAAGTATAGTCCATAGACCACACACTATTTGTTTCCAGTGGACATGGAGATAACAAGGAACTTGGGCTAGAATATAAATAAACTACATCAGTAAGCACACTACTATACAGTTCAGCGGACATTTTTTTCCTAGCAAGACTATCTATGTGAAGGAAGTGATAACGCTGATTAATATTCTGGTATAATATTTTTATTGTCATGGATTGGCTCTCAAGTAGCACTGCTCCAGATGTTTCTACTTTTCTACTGTTAAACACAATTATAGAACATCCTTACATATATATCTTTGTCCAAATGTCTGAAAGTTTTACAAGTAGACTCGATAGGTCAAGGGATATGCATATTTAAGATATAGTTAGATATTATCAAACTGACATCCAAAAGTTCTGCAGCAATTTATATTAGATGAAAATGCCTTTTACTCATACTATTGCAAAGGATCAAAGATATTTCACAATTGCTTGAAGCTACATTTCTCTGATTAGCAATTTCATTTGTTTGTTGACATTTTTAACTTTTTTCTGTGAACTGTAGTTCTTGTCATTTATTTTTCAATCCGTTGTTAGGCTTTTTCTCATTGGTTTGTAGCCATTCTTTTACTACTATGACTAATAATTCATTTTCTATTAAATAAGTTCCAATATTTTCTCCAAGTGAGTTGCTTATATTTTAAAACATTTAAATAGTATCATCTATAAAGCAATTTTCATTTTTATATAGCCAAATCTATAGATATTTTCCTATATGAAATTGGGGTCTGTGTTTTAAGAGGTCTTCCCAAATTGAGGATTACAAAAATATTCTTCTATAACTTGGCCTAGTAAAGTTTTAAAAAATATCTATATAAAGCTTTAATTGTTCTTGTTTATTTTATTCCCCTGTGTTTCTTTCTTTTTATGGCAAAAGACATATTTCATAAAACCAAGTTTACTTTTGTGTAAGACGTGCAATAGAGGTCTACAATTTTCTTCAACATGAATAACCAAACATTCTAACATCAGATATTCAGCCTGCTTTCCGTTTCCCACCAACTGCAAATGATACTTTTATTATAAATGACATTCCTTTCATACATGAGTCAGTTATTAATGGATTTTATTTGGTGAGTAAGCCAACAAAATGGAATTTGAAATCATGTTTTAATTCTTTGAACAGTAGCTTGCTCACTCAATTCTGTTTTGTTACTAAAACAGAGGCAATGACCAACCTGGAATTGAAAATCATCGGAAGAGTAACTGTTGTAACTCCTTTGCCCACAGTGGTACCAGCTGTTCCTGTGATGGTGGTTCCTTTGGCTTTTAGCTGTACAGTGAGTGCTTTGGCAATGCATCCTAGAAACATGTCCAAGATACCCAGCTTATTCCAATCTCCCTTCTCTGTTGAGTGAATGATATCACTGATATCAGCTGGGGGGAGGGATTTCACTCCTATGATGCTGGCTAGACGACTAGGGGTCACTTCAGGTAACACTCGTCTTAGTAAAGAGGTCACCTGGTAAGAAAAATAAAATGAAAAAATCTCATTTAAAGATTGATGCTTTTAAGTTTTCTTTTTTGAGACAGAGTATCACTCCCATGCCTAGGCTGGAGTATAGTGGCATGATCACAACTCACTGCAGCCTTCGACTTCTGGGCTTAAGCAATCCTCCTGCCTCAGCCTCCTGAGCAGCTAAGATTAGAGGCGCACATCACCGTGCCCATATAATTTTTTATTTTTATTTTTTTTAAAAGGGGTCTCACTATGTCGCCCAGGCTGGCCTTGAACTCCTGGCCTCAAGTGATCCACCTACCATGGCCTCCCAAAGTACTGAGATTACAAGTGTGAGCCACCATGCCCAGCCTTCATTTTTTAATGCATCTCACTACCATTCTGTAACTTCAAAATCTTAGAGGAAGAAAGAAATATAATTTAAATATCTTTTTTTTTTTTTTTTTTTTTTTGAGTTGGAGTCTCAGTCTGTCGCCCAGACTGGAGTGCAGTGGCTGCTCCCGGCCACCGCAGCCTCGACCTGCTGGGCTCCGGCGATCCTTCCACCTCAGCCTTCCGAGTAGCCGGAATTACAGGAATGCGCTATCACGCCCAGTTGATTTTTTGATTTATTGTAGAGATGAGGTCTCGCTGCCCAGGCGGGTCTCGAACCTGCGGGCTCAGGCAATTCACTCACCTCAGCCTCCCAAAGGCGCGGGATTACAGGCTGAGCCACCGAACCCGGCTTAAATATCATTTTTACTTTTTAGAAAGAAAGAGATATGATATAAACACTGCTTTAAATGTCTGGAGTGGCAATTGTCAACCAGGTCAGTAAGAAAAACAATAAAACATATGCCTTTTACTTTTGGTCAGGACTAAATAACATTATATATTCCATGGTAATAAGGTAATAAGTAGCCAGAATACTCTTTATCACAATGCCTTGGTAAAATGGATCATATTTTCTCTTCTAGACTCTCATTATAAAAAGTCGAAAATAAAAAACCTGGAGTTTAAATACGGGCCCTAAACAAAACATAAAAAACTACACCTAAGGCTCTCAGTAAGTCTCTTTGCACTGCAAGTTTTAACAGTGCTTTAAGTAACAAAAGAAGTGGAAAGGCAGTAGTAAATCAGGCACCTGTCTCTGGACTCTGGGAGAGGCTGTGTGAAGCAGGGAAAAGAGATCCTGAAGCAAAGTTAGCTGCTGAGCCAGATACTGCCGGCCGACATTGGAGCCGCTCAGGGCTAACACCATGGACAGCAACTCGAAGCAGTAGGCATCAGAGGAGGCATCTTCATCATTTGGCTGAGAATTGGCATTTTCTTTGCTTGATATGGCATGTTCCCATTCTTCACGGACTCTGGTAGCTTCCATGCGAATAGCTTGGACAATATGTGCACATACCTATTTAAAGGAAACAGAAAATAAAAAAATATATTGTAATTTTGATTTCCTACTCCTACTAGAACAAACAAAAAACAAGGTAAGAATATAAGTTGATGTTCAGTTTAATACTCTTCCTCCCAGGTAATTCTCCATCATACCATTATTTTAACTCATTTTAAAAAACAGTTCTATAAAACTAGGGGAGCCATGATAAAAACCTGAATATCCAAATCAACTACTATGTAGAAACTGATTATATACAAGTCACTAATGCCTCTGCCTATGGCTGATCACATCAAACAAAAACCAATCATTGTATTTTATCACTTATAAAACACAGTTTTTCATATTTTAACATTCTATTCATGAGGCACTTTATAATTTATGAGAGTGATATATACAATAACAGTACATTTTACAACTGAAAGCATCTAAGATTCAACTAAACACTGTTACACAAAGCATGAATTAATTCATATTATTAATTATTTAAAAAAAGATTTACTAGTGTTGAAAGTTAGATTAAAAAGCTAATTCAAATCAATACTTTATTTGAATTTTGAAGTGCTATTATTATGTTATCTAGTACCTTATTACATGAACAATCTAGTGCTACTCCCTGACTCAGTTATATTTAAAATGTTAACTCTAGTTCAGTAAGTACTATTAATTGCTCAACAAATAAGCAAAAAAAAAAAAAAAAAAAAAGAAAAATCAGGAAGGGGTGTTAGGATATGGGAGGGAAAGATAAGGAACACAGGAAATACAAATGAAATCTGATACTCTAATGTAGCTGGATATTTGGCACCAAAATAAAACAGTCAACCTATAACAAAGGGCAGCAAGGTAATAAAGTTAACATTCATAAAACAATATTTAAAATTATGCAAGCATATACTCATTCTTCTTTTAAAAAATGGCAGATTCTACAGGACCTATGAAAGAACTAGCATGAAAAAGCCTCCATAAATTCTAGAAAATACTTTGTATCCTAAAAACAAATAAAACTGATGAAGACAATGAGATGGCTATTAACCAACCTGTTTTTGTAAGTTAGTCAATTTACTCCTGCTGAATATGATTCCAACCATATGTTCTTTCAGGTCTGCATCTGATGTTGCCTTTACATAGAAAAGAAAAAAAAAAGTAATCTCTTTAAATAAAATTTGTAAATTTGACATTGCAAAGTATCCTGAGAAACAACTTTAGATATTTTTAAGGTGAATTTATTTTAAATTGAGGCTTATAATACTAAGACAAGGGATAAAGTTTGAATAAATCACTACTGGCCAAAGTGAATAAAAAGAACAAAAGTTCAGAACTTAAGGAATTCAGAGAAGTATATTATCTTTTCATACATTTCTTTAATGTAGTCAACTAAGCCACTCGATTAAATAGATTTCTAAATTGTGAACATTGTCAGTTCACATCACATTCAATTATTTGAAGTGTAATCCAGGAAAATATCATTTGATTAGAAGGAAAGTAGCCTAACAAAAACTAAGCTATTTGAATACCAATAGTCATCAGATAAATGTATCATAACAAGAAAAATAAAGTTTTACGGTACTTATTATGTACATGGCACTCTTCTAAGTGACAGATACACACACACAAACACACACACACACACACACACACAATCCTATAAGGCAAACTCTAATGTTCTATTTTACATTAAGAAAACTGAGGCAAGTCACTCTTTTGTTTAAGAATAAAAAATGGTTCTTGGTTTCACATTTCTTAGGATAGAGAGCCACAAGAGAATGTCCCTCTCACCCTAACAATGAGGAAAAAAGCTGATAATCTACAAGGTCATAACTGTTTTAGAGCCCAGCAGAATTGAAATCAGCCACCAGACAAACTGAATTCCAGAAAACTCCAGATAGTTAGACACTCCAAAACTTCTCCAAAACAAACAAATGAGCAAAAAACCAGTAAGGCTCTTGAAGACTCAAATACCATTGTAAGCCATTTTGAACTAACTGATAGTTATGGAACACCTCGCAGAACAACAGCAGAGTTATTAAAAGCCAGAATCCAAATCTTCATAATGTTAAAAGAACTGAAACTACCCAAAGCATATTGCTCGATCATGACGGAATTAAACTGGAAATTAATAACAGAATATTACCTTACCAGGAAAATCCCTAAATATATGGAAATTAAATAAGATGCTTTTAATTACTCAGAGGTCAAAGAAGAAATTGCAATAGGAATAAAAAATATTTTGAACTGAATGAAAATGTAAATACAATACACCAAAATTTGTGATACAGCTAAAACAGTGCATTGAAGAAAATAACAGCAGTAAGTACTTACATGAGAAAAGAAAGATCTCAAGTCTAGGATCTAATCTTACACATTTAAAAACCAGAAAAAAAAAGGAACAACTCAAATGTAAAGCAAACAGATGGAAACAAATGAACACATGACCTGAAACAATTAAAATAAACAAAAAATTGAGGAAAACCAATAAAACAAAAAGGTGGTTCTTTGAAAATATCAACTTGATGAACCTTACCCAAAGAGCTAAAAAAATAGAAGACACAAATTATCAACATAAGGAATAAAAGGAGAGAAATCAATACAGCTTCTACAGATATTAAAAGGAAAATAAAAGTATATTATAATAAATTCTGCAACTTAGATAAAATGGTCAAATTTCTTGAATGTCAGAACTATCAACGCTCACTCTAGAAGAAACAAATAACTGAAATAGTTCTGCGTCTATTAAAGACAGTAAATTTGTAGAATAGAGCCTTTTTGTTGCTGTTTAAATACTAGGCAGATTATACATGATTCTCTTTTAGATAGTTCTTTCATCCTATTTTTGTTTACTTTTTTCATTTATTTAAGCTTTTTAAAAATAACTTTACTGAGATATAGTTCACATACCATACTGTATACTTATTTAAAGTGTACAATTCAAGGTTTTTAGTATATTCACAGATATTCACAACTATCACGACAACCAATTTTAGAGCATTTTATCATTCTCAAAACAGCACTATATTATGTAGCTATCATTCCATTTATTTCATCTTTTTTTATTAAAGTAAGAAAAATAAACTGCATATAAGGTAATATCACATATCAATGAAAATATATAGCCAAGTATGGATTATTTTACTGAATAAAATAAAATGAAAAAAGGGACATATAGGACATATATATAAGCATATCCATTCTGATTGTCAGCAAACTAGGAATAGAAGGAAACATCCTTAATCTCATTAAAATAATTCAAAAAAATATTTAGTTAATATCACATTTAACAGTAGAAGCATGAATGTTTTCTTTTTAAAATCCAAAACAAGGCAAAGCTATCTGTTCTTACTACTTCTACTCAACATGATATTTAAGAACTGAACCAGAGCAATAACACAATAACACGAGAAGCTGGAGGAAGATGGTGGCGGAGCCAGTCAGACTATGCAACTCCCAGTGTGAGTGAGTGTATGGAAAATTTTGTGTATGTGTCGGTGAGTAAGTGGGCATGTGACAGCTGACTAAGGGTTCAGGAGCAAGTGACCAGGGATCTCCTGGTGAAGAAGCTGGTGCTGCAGCTGCTCAGTTTGGACCCTAGAAATTCCTGGGATGCAAAAGCTGAGTGTCATTTTTTTCTTCTTTTTTAAATCAACAAAACCCTTCCTAGGAAGAAGCTGTTGGGAGAGACTGATTAAGTGGTGGCTCGTGAGCAAGTGGCCAGGGCTCTCCTGGTGAAGCAGCTGGTATTGCAGCTGCTCTGCTTAGTGCCTAGTGCTTCCCAGGTCGCAGAAGCTGAACGTCATTTTTTTTTTTTAACTTACAAAAGTATTCCTGGGAAGAAGCTACAGGAAGACACTACTGACTCCAGGCTCTGCTCCACCACTGCAGCAGGAGAGACAGCTGGATCCAGGTTCTGCTTCACCACTTCACCACCTGGCCAGACACTGGAAGCGAGGGCTGTGGAAGAAGCCCAGAGGCAGAGCCCCACTGAAGAAGGCAAAAGAATACCCTGCCACCATCTTGAAAAGGGGGCAGAAAAGTGCTCCGGCTTGCTCATAATGGAGCAACAGACTTGATCTCTGTGACTGGTGGATCAACTACTCAGGGGTTGATTGTGACCCAGAGGGAATATCCTGAAAGCACAAACTATGGAGGGACAAGTGCTGAGTCTCCAGCGCCCCACCTCCTACCCTGATTCAGCCACGGGACAAAGGGTGTGGCCAGAAAAGAAACGAGGAAGAGCTCTAAGGACATCAGTGTCCTGTTACAAAAATAGAACAAATCCAGAGCCCTGATCCGGGAAGAACAGAGGGCTGAGCAAATATCAGAAATGAAAGCCTCTCCCACTGCCAATGAATAATGAAACTAAAGATAAAAGAGAGAGAGATCTGTCACAAATGAGGAAAACCTAACAGAAGACCATACGTAATTTCCAGTATAAAAAAAAAGAAAATGCCTGAAAAATTAGACTTCAGAGTTCAAACAATGGAAGTCACCAATGATTGACCCCAGAATATGACACAGATTAGGGAATGCATGGAAAGAGTGCATAAGACTAAAGAAAGACAAGACACAACACTGAAAGACAGAGACTTTGGCCATAAAAAATTTCATCCAGGAAATAAATAAGATGACAAGCATGGAAAACAGAATAATCAAGCAGAAGAAAGAATCTCAGAACTTGAAGACTAGAATATGGAATTAACCCAATCTGTAAAAAACATAGAAAGAAAATTCAGAAAGAAAGGAAAAAGCCTATAAGAGATGTACAATTATGTCAAGAGGCCAAACCTATGCCAGATTGGTATCCCAGAGGAAGGGAAATGGAGAACACCCTGGAGCAAGTATTCCACGAGGTAATCCAAGAAAACTTTCCCCATCTCACCAGAGATACAGAGATACAGAGAACCACTTGCAAGACATCAAGAGATACAGAGAACCACTTGCAAGACATCAAGAGATACAGAGAACCATTTGCAAGACATCAAATGAGAAGACCAACCCCTAGACACAGAGTAATTCGCCTTCACAAAGTAGGCACAAAAGAAAAAATCCTACAGGCAGCAAGAGGGAAAGGTCAGACTACCTACCAGAGAAAACCAATCAGAATACAGCAGAACTATGGGCAGAAACACTACAAGCAAGAAGGAACTGGAGCCCTATATTCAAAGTCCTCAAATATAAACAATTTCAACCAAGAATTTCCTACCCAGTCAAACTCAGCTTCATCAGTGATGGAGAATTAAAATCCTTCCCAAACCGAGCTTGGTGGCTCAGCTTGTAATCCCGCGCCTTTGGGAGGCTGAGGTGAGTGGATTGCCTAAGCCCATGGGTTCGAGACCCGCTTGGGCAGCGAGACCTCATCTCTACAATAAATAAAAAAAAATCAGCCGGGCGTGGTAGCGCATGCCTGTAATTCCGGCTACTCGGAAGGCTGAGGCGGAAGGATCGCCGGAGCCCAGCAGGTCAAAGCTGTGGTGGCCGGGAGCGGCCACTGCACTCCAGTCTGGGTGACAGAGTAAGACTCCAACTAAATAAATAAATAAATAAATAAAATCCTTCCCAGACATCCAATCCCTAAGAGATTATGCAGCTTCCAGACCAGCTCTATAGGAGATGCTTAAAAAGGTATTAAGCACAGAAGACAGAAGAAAAAGATTGACCACACACCTCCCAAGAGAACAGCAGAACACAGAATCAACAGAGAATATATCACGACAGCAAACTTGAAAACACAAACATACATCATCCCCAAAGATAAAAGAAAACAAAGAAAAAACTTTATATGAACCTCAGGATGGGGATAAACGAACACATTTCAATAATCAGCCTGAATGTGAATGCACTAAATGCACCAAAGAAAAGACACAGAATGGCAAAGTGGATGTAAAACCGTGGCCCAATTATTTGCTGCATCCAGGAAACTCATCTCACCATGTACACAGACTCAAAGTCAAAGGATGTAAAACAAGTTTCCAGACAAATGGATCACAAAAGAAGGCAGGAGTTGCGATCTTAACATCAGACAAAACAATCTGTACATTATCAAAAATTAAAAAAGAAGCAAAAAGATACTACATAATGATAAAAGGTTCAATCCATCAACAAAAAATATCCATCCTAAACATAT